CTGAACTCTCAGAGCTGCAATTTCGCAAAGGTAAGGCCGGAATTACGAGACGCATAGAATTCGTCGTTGTCTTGTTTTTCCCGCTGATGAGACCCGCAATCGCGCGTAACATTGCTTCATCCACGAGCAGAGCTCGTTATATCGGGTGACCGTTATTAAGAACGGTACCAAGCGGGTGCCCGTGTCGTTCTCTTGTAATGTGATTCGCACGCCTCCTAATGTAATTCAGAAATTCGATTACCGTTGCGTTACCGCGCTTTCCGCCTTTATATTCTCATAGAAATTTCGCATTTCTTTCGAATACAAATGTGATGGACAGTCTTTTATTAGACTTCGAATTTGCTGCTTCGAACGAATACACGCGTGAAAATTGATTATTTATCCTGTATCTTTTTCGTATGAGTACTTTTATCCGCGATAAGAGCGAGGAGGTTTCTTCGCTGGATGTCCGATTCGCAAATGTACAATTCGCACGGTGCGTGTCAGTACGTGCGTGTGAAATGCAGCACGGATAATCAGGCTCCCCTTCTCCCGTAAAGGGATTCAGCGCTTCAAACCTGCTCGCTTCTCTCGATGGCAGTGACCTGTTATATAGGGGTCTCACGGGCCCCAGGGCTTTTATACTCGCGCGCACGCAATAATTCCTGGTTAAATGCCAGACACTACATCGCGCGCTCTAAACCTATATATCATGCTCTTGTCTTACTCTTGCTTCACACACATCGCGAGAAAGTTGCAAAATACCTCGAGATTTTTAATGCACGCAACTTAAATCCCAATATCCCCTCGATATCGATTGCTTAATTTGGAATTTTTCTTTGAAGAGCATCTGGAAAGCATCTTTCAAACGTAAATCTAATAAATAGAAGCACATATATAAATTCATAAATAACAATTCAACGTGATTATGAATTCTAAATGAGGCTTTCGTAAACGACTCGTCAACCAGGCACAATAAGTCAATGGGAACCATGATGGCCTCGTGCCTATCTAAAGACAGTAGTACGTGACGGAAAAGCGGATGCTACGTGTCGGAAGTGCCGTTGTTCTCAATGCGTGTACGAGAAGGAATTTTTTAAGCTTTTCCTATATGATTATGTTTGTTTGCCGTAACGTTTGCTGTAAGTTAATTAAAATTTATGGGTATTGTAAAACATTTTTAACATTATTTCATTTTCTAAATTGATTTTGTAATCATAAAAAAGAATTATTAATTATATTTTCTAATAATAAAATCTAAAATAACTTAAAAAATAATAAAAATATTATAATAACTTATCATAAAACAATAATAATTTGCATGACTACCAACATATTATTGCTGCCGCCGTATTTTACTTTAATTAACTTTAAATTTCCATTAAGTTTATGACGCGAATTGCGCTGTTCGATTCAATCGATTCATTCTTAGTAAAAGTGACTCGTCACAATTGCGGCAGCTCGTGCGACGCGCATCTCCGGCGTTTGTGTCTCCCGTTATTCTACTCAACCCGGCGACTTCGATGCCCGGTCACGCTATCGTCAAGTAGACAGCACGAACGCAATCGAGCGCATGAGATTGATAGACATAAGAATACTTAAAACACAGCCGTTCGTGAATCGGAGAGAAAGGACGAGTCGCAGTCTATTATCATGGCGTTCCTCGCAATTGACAACTAATTTTCTATGAAAGACATTGCGGTCTAATTCTCATCTCGACAGTTAGGTTTAAAACTTACATATATATAATTAAATATAAACTTTTCGAAAATTTAGGTGGTTTAATAAATTATGATTATACTAATTAATGTTTTTGTTGCGACTCGCAATTCACATCGCTCAATCGTCATTTCCCTAACGTTTCACCAAACTTTCTCGCGGTCTAATCGCACACCGACGTCGTCATTTACGCATCGTGTAAGTTCCAGGCACGCGGAAAACAATTACTCGCGTGTCGCATGTGAAAGAAAGTACCGCGCCTCGACGAAAATGGCATCGACAACGATGGCGGCGCGCGGATATTCATGCCGGGTCAACAAACTTGTACGTTTCACGGATTTTTACAAGTACGCGCGACAAGACCTCGACCATCGCCTCTATTTGCATACAACTTTCGAATTGTCCGTTTAGCCTGTTAGAAAGCCATTACGATCGCAGGTGCAGAGGTATGCTTTCTACGCCGAGTTATTTTACAATTATTTTCAAAACGTTTTGTTAAGGTATGCCTGCTACCTGAGGTACCTTTTATCCGTTTCAAGAACTTACCTATCTCACCTATATCACTGAACTAATGATTCAGACAACTTGGAAAACTTCAGAAGTGATCTCAAATATCATAAGCTTAAATATTATTTTAGTTTTTTTTTTTGAAAAAAGAAGGAAATATTTATAAATATCGATGATAGAAAAAATAAAATCTATTTATTACAATTATTTACATTGCTAAATTTATTTAAAAAATCGTAGACAAATTAAAATTTTGAAGACTAGATAATAATGTAGTATTGCAGAGAAAAAAGTAACATCGACAAGTGAACCAGGCATGAATATCGTCGAACATGTATTCGAAATGTCACAAAAGAAGGGGATGTGCATGACGTGAGAAGAGAGGATTGGAGAGAATTCTTGGACAAAAAAAGAGGTGATTGCACTGTACATACGGCTTTTGGAGTCTTTGTAATTAACGTGACGACGACCCACTGACCCACTGGATGATCGATTTTTTTATTCAATAGTTTAAGACAAACGTATTTTTAATGTATCTCATCTTCTATCGTCAGATTTAATAGTTTTTGGGTTGAACATTTTTTTGGTTTGTACTAAGAATAGAATCTTATTATCTTATTCAAAAGGGAAAGGTCGGATTTCTGCGATTCACGAATCGCAATCTGAATTATGCACACCAGTCGTCCTTCGAGACTGCAAGGAATATCAACAGTCGACATTTCCAAGCCCCGAAAAAATAAATATTTAGATTTTGTGGCAAAAACAGATATTTGCATACTAATCATCCATTTAAGAATATCTCGAATGTATATCTATTTCTAAGAAACGTGACAAATGACAAATATTTGCCGAGCTTCGTCTTCAGCTTTCGTAACAAAACTCGTCTTCGTCTAAAATATAGCGTCGTAAAAATACACGTTGACTCACATCGAAGAAAATTGTAATCGAAATAAAGAAGCCAATAATCTTTTAAATTGATTGCGAAAAAAAAAACATACATTTGCATTCTCCAAATCTCTTAAGAAAATAAAGAAATAATCTTTGGTATGCGTGATACTTTATATTAATTTACGACATAAAGTTCTAAAATTCTAAAATTTATATTTTTAGAATTTAAATTAGAATTTAAATTTTTGAAGAATGAAACCTTGATGATTTCTTAAAAATGAATCTCAGAAAGCGCAAAGCAGAAAATCTTAATTGGATCCCAAGTTCGCATCCTTATCGTTATAAAATTGTGATACAGTTACACGCAACAGTACTCAGGTTAATTCGTACGTTTCATGTCGAACGGAAATGACTTCGCCATATTCGTCTTGCTTCTAAATGTGTCAGCTGTGCGAAAGGATTTGAGGAGAATTCTCACTGAAAAATGTCGACATTGGGCCACGGTCAGGGTCCCGGTCACGCGACCCTGATTCCGCGTCCCCGAGATTTCACGCTCGCGACACGAACCCGCTACTGGATTTTCTCGTCTTCCTGTCGCGTACAACTCGCGGTTAATTGCGTGGAAAATGCATTGATGGCATTTCATTTCTGTACGGTGAAATCGAGTAAGATATGCGGAAAATATGTTGTTTCTATGCGGAGTTAAAATTTATAATAAGTATAAAAGCCCAATGGGAGAAGAATAATGAATTTCTTATCGAGAAATTTTACTCTTCCGTGACTAAAAATATACCGTTACGTAATAATTAATTGTGAAAACGACTTTATGTTTAATTTTATGTACCTCTTTTGTGAGAAGTATTTTAATCTCGGTGTGCATTTAAAAATAACTTGAAGAAAGGATGTAAAGACAATTATATATTTTTTTAATTTTTATTAAGAAGAGATCTAACTACGTTAAACTTGGATGCATATAACAAAACAAAACTCATTTAGAACTTCGCACTCGTTATCTATTTGGTCTTCTGTTTCTGTTGTTACAACAAATTTGTGGTTTCACCTTCATAGCCATGTTCTGCTTCGTCGATATGAAGAGCGACTTAAAGACGACGAGTTCTCCCTTTTGTCAAAAGACAATTCCTTTATTTCCCATGCTCCGGCAGATTGTGTGAAAAATGTTGGAGGCTTTCCTTCACGGTACGCAATCTTTGACCTATAAAGGGCAATATGCACGGTTTACATACTGCATGCTGTTCGAGGAGGTATCTCCGCAAATATTTGTGATAAGCGACAAATACGAAGCTACATTTTTTTTATTAAAAATACAATATTTAATACAAAATCGATTACAATTTAATTTCTATCTGTATCTTCTACGTCAGCATAACTATAAATTTACATCGTCTCGTGTTAACGTTGACAGCATTGAAGAGTCATCTCTCTCGCGACATCCTGATGCGTATGAGATTCCTGCGTGCTAAAATGTCACAGTAAGGTACTAACTAGTATTAATAGTAAAACAGCGCATTGCGTCATTCGCAGGAAAGGGGAAGCGTTAACGTTTCCACATAAAATCGAGGAATGCCCATTTTTCTCGGCATAATTCCTTCCATCCCTATGCGAACGACGACAAAGAGATAGGTACGGCGACACGATCGGAGTCCAGGGAGTGACCCGATGATGAAAAGCACAAAGCAGAAGAGTGGGAGAGTGTCTGGTAGTGAAGCGGAGTGGGACCCAGTCACGAAGTCTCACGCCTTCTACCAGTTCTCAGTCCGAAGACGAACGTACTGGCAGCTAGTGGTTCGCCGCTCCACTCCGAGACCGTCCGTGCGCGTGTGTTCGTGTGGCATGATTGTGTTTGTGCGCGAGGGCAGAACGGTTTCCTCCGTAACGCCGATGTGTCGGAGTCGATCTTGAGGCCTATTACACCTTTCACGCCGCTCTTTTCTCGAGCGATCGATTGTCTTCGTTTGCGAAAAATCGATTAGTGGCACCAAGTCGTCGATCGAGAGCAACATCCGCCATTTTCGTCATCTTCGTGCGTGAGGAGGCCCAATGAGGCCCACCGGTGCTGGTACAGTGATTCGCGCGGCCGACGCCTGCGGCCGCGCCTCTGGATTCCACAAGAACCAGCACACGGCTCGCAGGAATAGTCATTAAATTCTCGCCGCCGGATATCGCTGGAGCTGTTTTCTCCGCTCGTCGCGTTCCAGGAGTGTTTGCGGCGGTCACTTGGCCGCAAGTGTACTGTGTTGAAGTGTACGTGTATACATGCAGCTACACGTGGAGGTGCATTAGTAAGGGACGACGACAACTACGGCTACGCCACTGCATCGCATACCAGCGAGGGCCTCGGGTCTGGTAGCGGAGAAGGGGATAGAGAAGCCTAGAGAGAACTGAAAGGAAGCGACAGAGACGGAGCACGGGAAGGGGCCACGATAGAGAGAAGAGGCGCAAAGGGAAAGAAAGCGACGGAGAGAGATTGAGACAGCGAAGAAAAAAAGAGAAAGAAAGACAGAGGACAAAACGGGGCCCGATACTGGCGGAGGGGGGACTCGCAAGAAGGCGGCCATAATGGCCTGACGCGATCTCGAGCGAGCGGCTACAGCTGCTGCGAAATATCCGCGCCTCCGAGTTCCTCTCGCCGTTGCTCCGCGCACATATTTTGCAACGACGTACTGCGACGACGTGTACGTGTCTTGTACACGTCGCCTGTCCTCCTGCCTTTGGAAAGCACCGACTACGTAAGCACTGCGAGTGCTACCGGGCGGAGTCTCGTCGGAGGCAACGTATACCTCAATGAGCCTCTGACTCACATTCACGATTCAACGCTGCGCGTGAGAAGCGATCCGCCAGCTGATAATTGTCATTCGAGAAGATCCGCATCCCAGAGTGTTGCTGTCTCCAATCGGAAAACTCGATGCTTGGTGGAACCGATCTACCACGCATCGAAATCTCCACGCATCGAAATAATTTCTTCACTTAAGACAGTTCTGAATCATTCTTGAATGTAATTTTCCTATGATAACGCGGTTAAAACGCATATGATAATTTTTTTTTTTGCTTTTTCTTTGAGAACTTGAAAGTAATCAATTGATAAGATTATCTATAGCCAGATAAATTTTTTTTTATTTTTTGCGACAACTAGATTGTTAAAAATAGTTTTTTTGAACAATTTCCTGAATTTCCAAATTACGAAATTGAAATCGGTTGAATCTCTGATTAATAAATTAGTCAAGTCGAAAAAAAATGAGGGGAGCTAATCAAGATACGGCGACGCCGTATTGTCGCTGCAGAGTACTCTATTTAGGTAGCTCAGTACCTCACGCGAGCAAAGAGGGACTCCTAGGTGTTCAGGAGCCTCTGAGAGAACTTTATCCCGAGCAAGGTGCGCTTGGTGCGCGTGGGATCGACTCTTGGTTAAGCGTATGGAGCAACGGCTTACTCTTGGAGAATGTCGACGAGCATCGCAAAAAGATCACGCGGTTTTTCCCGATCGAAGCGCTCCATTACTGTGCCGCAGTCAGACATGTCAAAGGTGGAAACGGCGATACGTCCAGCACGCGTTTTTTGCCATTGGACTCGCCATTCGCACGGACACCCAGCGCGAATCATCCACCTTTGTTCGCTGCCGTGTTGCGAAGAACAACTGGTATCAAGGTACTCGAATGTCACGCGTTTATTTGCAAACGAGACATGGCGGCCAACGCCCTGGTAAGGTGTTGCTTCCATGCTTATGCCGATAGCAGCTACGCGAAAGGTCTGGAGCCATCCTCAGCGACGACAAACGGGGTCATGACGGGTCATCAATCGAATAACAGTCTTTATCATACTCTGGGCGGTTCGAGTACCACTCTAGATAGCCCTCAAGCGACTCGTTTGGACACGGCCTCAACCGACGACCTCAGTCTATATAACGGCGATGAGAATCATAAAGTTTGGGCCCGAGGTCGCGACGAAGTCGATGGTCTTTATCAGGAACAAGGCACCCTGCGAAGCACGAAAGGATCCAGACCGCGTCAGTTGGTCGCCCCACCACCACCGCCACCACCGCCACCCCCTCCCGCTCAACCGTTATTATTGGAAGAATCCTCTTCAGGACGACGGAAAGCTAATAAAAAGCTCAAGAAAATAAAAACTCGTTCGTTGCATGAGGACACATTACAACAACATCAACAGCAGCAGCAACAACAGCTCCTTCACCATCAGTTGCATCAGGGCGTTTACGCCAACGGCCACGGACATCACACTTTGGGTCATCCCATCCGACAACAGCATTATCATCCTCATCCGCTACCACCCAGCAGCCGATCCGTCGCCGGTACTTTAGCTAGACCGGCACCAGTGCTTTTAGTACCAGCAGCCACCTTGCCACGAAAGAGTCATCATCATCCGCGTTTAAGACCCATTCCGGCGGCAGCACCCATAGTCCCGGTCTACGCTCCTTTACCGGTGGTGCCGCCGACTGCGGCACCGGCTGCAGCCATCTATCCGGCAGCGGCCACGTATGGTACTGCCGGAAATAGAGGTAGACGACACCCAGAGGAGAACTCCACCCTAGGCACGTCGAGAAGATTAGCCGCCTCTCACGCGGATCTTACAGCGCCAGAGGTCGGTCGACAAGCGGACAGTCCGGAAAACGAGTCCCGTTTTGGTACCGGTATATATCGACGAAAAGGTCATCTGAACGAGAGAGCCTTTTCTTACAGCATTCGGGCGGAACACCGTAGCAGGAGTCATGGCAGCCTGGCCTCCTTGGGCTTTAGCGCGCAGAATGGCAACGCGTTGCCAAAGGAGGAGAAGAAGGATCGCGAGATAGCCCAACTGGTCGCTGGATTGAGCCTCAACGAGGGATCAGAACGGACGCAAATTCCGAATTCGAGAGGAGGATATCAACATCATCAACAGCAACAGATTCAACCGCTGCCCAGGCCAAGACCCCGTTAGAATCATTTCTTAAGACTGGCTTTTTGCAGTGCCAGACTGTCTTTCTAGATGAGCCAGAACGAGTTCTGAATATTTTTCCTAGAAGGGAATGCATTAATAAGCGTTTTTCGTGACTTTAGCGTTAACTTGACGTATTTACTTTCTTTATTAAATGCTGAGCATAAATTTAATTACTAATAATTTATTAACTTATTCTATATTAAATTGCTGAAAACAGACCATTATGCGTTTAAACGCTAATAAATCTGGTTGCTAATACGATAAAATTATAAAAAAATATTAAGAATTATCGGACAATCTTTCATAAATTCAAAATTCTTTGTGGAATCTTTTTCTTCTTTATCAGTGATGTTACTATTATAGACAATTGTTCGAAATGAATCTCGCTTTTTCCGGTCGATCGCGTTGATGCAATAGCGACTTTGTCTGGGTTAACAAACATCTTCTTGCAACTTGCTTCTCCAAGCGTGACATCGGCGCTACAGTTACGAACGATTTCATGTTCCGTCGTCGTGTCACATGGAAAAAGATTGCATTGCGAAATATTGCAAGTCTAACTCTTTAACATGTTTTACCTAACGGTGTTACATAGCAGTAGAGATGTTTTAAACTATTTTTTTTTAATTAAATCAGTAACGATATAAAACATACTAATTTTGAAAACAAAAGAAGTTTTTGTATTTTTTTTTTCAGTATAATCGTCTATCAATTTGCTAAAATATCTCATTGGATTAGCTGAATGTGTGAATTTAAAAACGAAGAATCAGCGAAATATCTTACAGAATTACAGGATGACATAACATCCAAAGAAACGTAATGATCTTTCTGTCGTAGAACGAACTAATTAGGTAGTAATTATTATCGTATCTCACGAAGAAGACAATTCTGTTGTCTGAAGCTCATTAGATGAATGCACGAAGCATGGAGGAAAAAAAGATTACTATATATACTATATATATTTTTTTTCTTTCTGGAAGAATAAATAAAAAAATTTGCAGCGAGATTAAAGATTTCAATATCACCATTATTAAAAGTTATTTCCTGGGACACTTAAATACGTACAAATTTTAGAAATCTGAAGATTATCAATCGTTTCTTTATATTTTCTATTATGTAATTAAATAAAACTCTTTATTTTTTGTAATAAGTATTACGACTCTAATAATATATAATTATAAATTAATTGATTATATTTGTAATAGTATCTGCGCGATTTATGTAATTTACAGGAAAGAAAAGCAATCCACATGCGTTACATAAAAGATAAATTAAAGTCTGGTTAAAAATGTCGATATTTGCATTTACAAGAAAAATACATATGTATGTCATGTCGACCGAGAAAAGTGTCCTTGGATGTGACATTTTACGGCCACGCGCTTGTTGAAGTTTTATCATAGCACATTAGCACCGATGTCGTAAGCAAAATAAAAATTTAAGCGCAAAAGAAATCGCCATCTCGCTGACACCTTGAGTTAAGATGCGAATCTTGCAACTCGAAAGGTCAAAATCATACAAATTGTATTTATTATCATGTTATAGAAAAAAAATTATTGAGAAAAACATCAAACACAAAGTTAAAAGAAATTATCTGCGAGAATGTGTTTTTTAAGGATAGAAGCATGATTGCAAATATATTATAAGAGACATCAATTCTTCGTAGACGACAGCGATAGAATGTCCTCATCGATTAAAAATACTTAATGCGCCGAGATGCCATTGCGTATACGTCAATGCTGCTGATGATCACGGCGAAGATTTTAATTCAGCCGCTATAATTAACACTTTCGCCTTAATTCGTTGTGATGAGATTACATAAGCCGTCGCATCTCAGTGTCGTCAGTCGCTTGCGAATTCTCGAAACTTGCCTAGATTATGTCAGTCGTCATTTCAATTTTAAATATTGCTCGAGGTAAACGACTAACTGCGAATATCTTAAATAATTCACATGCATATCAGTGTTTAGTGGTCTTTAGTAGTCGCACGCTACATAAAAACAATTATTCATCATTACGCAATTGGAACATAACATTCAAATGCCGTTCAGAAATGCGTTTCTCTTTCGATCGGCACGTCATCCGGTGCGTCGATTATGAGCGATAAAAAAAGACTTCGCCTTTCGCCACGAATTTCTCCGTGCATATAACGATAGACATTATCCAGAAAAATACCGACAAAATACGAAGAAGGAATAATTCGACATTCATAATTTCTTTTAAAAGAATAAATAAAAAAGTTTTATTAAAGATGTTCATTGGAAGTGACTTCGATAATGTTCGCGACGTTTCGTAATGGTGGAAATGATAAAAATAAAAATAATCTTATGTATATCACCTTTCAACAGAAGCGTTACATGAGCATTATGTTTTTTTTTTTTGTCATTTAAATTAGCATTCGAGGGAAGAAAATATGCAAAGCGATTCAACGTATAAACTCGGAATTATAAATAGCAATGTTAGTTATAGAAGGTGACGTTGCCGTGTAATTGAAGCGTGTAGTCTTCGAACAGAAAGTTGCATCGACACGTAGGCATCGTTAATGCATCATCGTGACTTGTTCGCGGCGGAAGTATTATGCAAATCAGGAAACGGCAGATAGTCTTTTCCCTCGGAGCGATCCTTTCCTAGGATTTTACGTGGAGAAAGAGAAGTTATGTATCGCATATTCAACAAGAGATTTTAAATGTCCGGATTAAATTCTTTCTCCTTCAGTCAATTATTTGATTGCAAAAGAAAGAGACGAAGACATTTAGGTGCAAACGCGATTGCAAATGAAAGAAAAAAAAAAAATGAATTCCACGCCAATGAATGTTATCGCTCACACCGGTTGTGCACACGAAGGATGCGCACTTTATTAGTCACCCGACTGTCGTTACCACGTTGTTTCCACGCCAAGGCTGTTTATCGCACGCGGTCATATAATTCTCTTCTTCTTTTTTTTTTTTTTCTTTTCTATCACGCTCTCCCAAGACGCTCGATCGATTTCGCGACGATAAAAGCGCCTGATAAAATGGAAATATGCGTTATCTACAGAAAAGATTATTCTATTGCTGTAGCTACTGTAGTGTTGCTGAAGTAGAAAGTGAGTGTAAAATATTTATGAGGCGACCACACCACGAAAGTGCATGTGCAGGAGGTATACATACGTAAATGGCAAATATAGAGATGCACCATACCCGTGTATGTGCGTGTACATTTGCCAAATAAGCTAATTAAGCTAATTAAGCGTACCATTAATTGCACAGAAATATCGGAGAATGGCTTAATTCTAATTGACGCGTATAATAGAAAGAGATACAGCGAAGATATTCGTGTCTGTTATGATAATTGTTTCGCGAAGCAAATCTATTATCATTACGGACATGAACATATCCTCGCGAAATCTTTCACCGAGACAGTGTACTTCGGCAAAACGATTTGAGCGATAGGGTGCGAAGTGTTTTACCGAAACCCTTTAACGAACGAACGAATTTCGATGCCGGGCATCACGGTCGCTCGGAGACGAGACGCGTTATTTCACTTACATTACATGCACTGTGCACGCGAACCTTCCCGTTCGTGTTCCCACATTCCGTTCTCCCGTGTAATTTTCAGGGTTAACCGACAACCGTCGCGTAAGCGATACTCCAGTTTCAGGATTGCAACAAACAACCGGTGGAATGCAAATTACCTTGATTGGTAGCTTGAAGTGGAGCGCGTTCTTTCTCTCCCGATAATAAAAGGGCTTTCTGATGAGTTCATTATTTCCGAACGAGTCGAAAGCTGGGTTTAAAGTCCTATAGGCAATTTGTAGAAAAGTTTGCGCTCTGAATGCTTTAGCTGCACTAGAAAAATTATCGAATTATTAGACTACAACGAATTTCCAAAAAAAAAGGAAAAGCAAACATGTCCGTCGGTGAAAGAGCCTTCAAACGATGTGTCTGCTCGACACGAGAAGTTTTATCTCGTTAGAAAGGAGAACATGAGCTAGCGAAAGACTCTTTAGATTCTCTTCTCTTTCATCGGTATTTTATAGAAAACGATTATGACGTTTTTAAAGAGAAAGGAACGTTAAAGAGATTTTTGAAGAGTTTTTCCTCCTTTTCCGGACAGAAACGAACGGAAAGCCTGGTATTTTCGAACATATTCGAGTTGGAAGTAACCAACGAGCTCCCAGCTCGTTTATTCCAGCGTTTTCTCGCCAGGATGCAGCCATTGTACTTAAATATGTAGGATAATGAAATGTCGTGTGAGATGCGGCTAGCGATTTATAATTTGCAATTATAACTCATAATTATAGAATGTAAACGGCGTCATACGATATGCATGTTGAGAACGATACAGTTAGAGCGCTCGACATTGTAACTGTAAATTTCTACGACGACTTAATCGCGTATTCGGACAGTCATCTATCGTCTTCCATAAAAATCGATTCTTTCTCTAAATATATTCGTATGCCAAGTGTACTACTACTATTACTATTACTACTACTACTACTACTACTACTACTATTACATTAACTGTAACGAGATATTAACTGTATAATATATAAAAACTCATCTGTGTTTATCAAGTATGATAAATGAACAGCTGGCTCCGAAGCTGACTTGAAAACCACAATGAAAGACGTAAATACGACGGATTAAGGAGTGACACATTGGCGACGACGATTAGCCGCCTGACGACGATTTATTTTTGTTATCTCCTCGTTATCTTCAATTTTGTTCGCCCATTCCGCCCATTGTTGTCCGTAATTGTAATTTTTTTATCACACTTCATCGTGTCTAGGCTTTAAACTATGCGCGCGTGAAAAGCCACGTTACCAGTCGATATCGCGTAAGGGGACACGCATAGCGGTACACGCGCCAGATCCAAGAATAGTGCCTCGTTCTTCTCTTGCGATTTCTTAGCGCCCCTTTCGCCGGTTTGGTAGTCGATGCAAGCCGAGTACAAGAACCCGCCGGAAGAGCGTTGCGAGAGTTAAGGGGGACGAAACGCGCGATTCGAAGGAATGCGCTAATGGCATCCGGATGCCGGTGCACCACTCCACGACCTTGCAGCTTTCCGCAGTGAAATGAGAAACTGCATAGCTGCTTCGTGCGGCAAGACACGGGTCGCCACTTCACCTGCACGACAATCAATAACATCGTAATTGATGTGTATACGCGTGTATATGCGTGCGCGTATGCGCATACTTATTGTGTATGTATTGTGTGCGCGATTGGACGCGATAGTTTATTTAAAGACGATTCGCATCGTACGTAAAACGCTTGTCATTAATTATTAACCCTCGCGTCTGAAACTATGCACTGATAGGAATGTG